GGCGGCTGCGCAGCGCAGATGCCAGCCCGCAGCATCCTCAGCCGGAGCGCTCGCCCTTGACTAAGGGGGGCCGGGGGCCACCAGCCAGGCGAGGACGTGGCCGTCACGGTGACACAAGCAACTCGGGCACTGGACGAGCGAGATGCTGCTTTTCAATTCCCCGTTTTTCCCCTGGAAGAAGGGCTTTGCTGGCACCCATGTCACCCGCTGTCACTGGGCGAGGAATAGCACGTGCCACCCAAACCCCGCTCTCCTCCCGCCTCCGCGCAGCTCCGGATGCTGCCATCTGCGATGGCAGGAGGTGAAGCAAAGCCAGGGCTGCCATCCCCCCGGCACGTCCCCAAGCATTTTTTACACTGGCGGTGGTGGGGACAATGCAAAAGCAGATGGTGTGCCAGGAGCCCGGATGTTGCCGGCACCTGCCGGGGTGGCGTGTCCAGGATTGCCTGCCGCCTCTCCTGCCACAGTGCCAGCGAGGGCCCTGGGGAGCATCTCCGGTGGGGTAAATCTGTGCAGCTCTGCTGGCCTCAGCTCTGTTTTGGGACGGCTGAAGATCAGACCTCCCTTAAAACTCACCCCTTGCTCTATTGTCCCCTCAGGAATGTGCTGCAGGTACCTCCAAAGTGCCTTATTCCCACTGCCAGCCTGTGACTGTGCGGCAGTGTTGCCCTTCGTGCTGCAAAACCAGGCTGGGCTGTTTTCCTTCCGTCCCGGGGCTGATCTCAGCCCCTGTTCCACAACCCTGCGCTGCTGAGGTGTGCAGAGATGCTTCCAGCCAGCTCCTAGTTTAAAACCATCCTCTTTCTTCCCTCCCCTCCAAGAATTTAGGCACGGAGTCAGCAACCTGGCCAACTTTCCAGGACACCTTTGTGCTCGGAGCCCTCACGCTGCATCTCTTTTGGACATGGTTAATCTCCCCCCACAACCCACAGCAAACGACCCCTCTGCCTGCTCCTGCCAGATGTGCAGCAGACCTGCTCCAGCAGACCCAGCCAGGCCCAGCGAGGGGACCGCTGACCACCTACTCCCTGCTTGCACGAAGGGTGTCACCTCGGGCCCAAGCAACAACCAACTCAGTCTTTGGCCCCAGGGATTTTATTCCCTTCACCCCACAGCCCTCACTGCAGGGAGGGCTCTCCTGGCACGCTCGCTGAGCGTCACCAGACATCCTACGAATGAGCACAGCCCCCACGTCCTGCTCCCCCCATGGGTCCTCCTGCCCTCGGGAGGTTGGCTCAGAAAAGCAGCAGCTGCTTTCCCGGTGCCCAGCTCCTGCCAGCGACCTCGGATCAGGCTACAGGTTGGAGCGGCAGAACGGTGCTCCTGGAACAACGGAGTCTCCGATGCCTTCGACGAGGTCGTCCCATTGATCAAACTTCTCTTCCAGGGCTGCACGGGGCAGAGATGGCAACAGGGTTACTACAGCGATTATCAGCCTGGCTCCAGGTGTAAAGAAGGAGCAGCTACCAGACCCCTTTGCTTTGTGCAACGGGATGGGAAGCACCAAACCCAAGCCCCCTGCAAGCAGGGCAGCTCTGGTGCCCCCCCAACCCCCAACCAACGTGCCCACCACCCCGCGCCATACTGAGATGCCTCTGAAGGAAGGCCAGAGCCGCCCGGCTGGTGATGTCCAGACCCTTGGAGGGGTCGAGGGTCCCCCTTGCGCCGAAGATGCGGCTGATGAGATTTCCAGTGAAAAAGGGGAAGTCGGTCTGGCTCTGGTGCACGGATCCCCTGGGACAGGGAAGGGATTGGCTTCAGTGGGGGCTGGGGAAAGGTTCTCCTGCTGGGACACAGCTCGTAGGTGCTCCTAGGAGGGTACCAGCGGGTGGGTGCCCCCAGCCCCTGACTCACAGGACCGTTATAATCTTCGTCTGGCTGTTTCTGGAGCTCAGCCTCTTCATTTTGGCAACGCTTTCTGGCGTCTGGAACTTCTCGGTGTTCATGAAGAGCACGGGTTTGGGCACCTCCGGGTACAGCGCGTTCTCCAGGGGGAACATCCAGGCGTCGAGAGCCACCGCACAGCTGCAGCAGGACGGACACATGGCGATCCCACTGGGATGAGCCACATGTCCCCAGAGCTTCCCTCAGCTCCTCGGCAGCATCCCTGCTGCGGCTCACCTGAAGCCGGGCTCTTTCACCAAGGCCAGCACTGCTGTCACCCCTCCAAAGGAATGGCCCATGACGGCGACTCTGGTCAGATCAATGTTGTCCTGCCAAAGGGAGAAGAGCCTGTGCCTAAACCTCGCTGCAGAAGGTCCCTCCTTAGGGAAGAGAAGCCCAGGGAAGATCAGCAAAGCCCCACTGCTGTGCCCTCCAGGTCCTGTTTTCTCCATGGGCACTTCCCACAGGGGCAGAAAAAGGAGGAGAGAGGCACCAAGAAGCTGAGACATGGAAGGCCGTGGCTCTGCACAGACCCTGCTTGTCCCAGAAGGAAAAGTCTCATGCAACAGGGACCAATCCTGCCAGCAAGGGGCACCTGGACTCCCCCCATCAGCCACACGATCCCCTTGGCTGGTCCTTTGGCACAGACAGACCCAGACACCTTCAGCACGGAGAGGTCGAAGTCCTGGCAAAGCACGTTCAGGACAGATTTCTCGCTGTTGATGTCCTCGAAGAGCCGGAGCGCTCGCACGCATTCCTCCGCCCTCTGATGAACCTGGGAGCGAGAGTTGCCCCTTCCCTGGTTAACACATCTCCTCCACCCCGCAAGTTTGGGGTCAGATCTTCCCCCCGATGTCCCCCAACGCTCATCCCTCTAAAACCACAACGCGCAGACGCAGCCTTTCCCTCTATTTATGATTTATTTCTCATTCACCCACAACATTCACGCTCATGGATTCATCTTTATAGGAAAACTGTTGCCCTTCTTTGTGCAACACACCGTAAGGCAGCACATGCACAAAAATAAGAGGCTGGGAGGTGATTTTAAGACTGCCAAAAGCACCTCCAACCACTACATTTCCTACAGAGCATTTCTACAACAGATCTAACCCGTTGTTGTCCTTTTAAACCAGGCAGAAACAAGCAGAGGGAGAGCCTGGCTCCGCAGGAAACCTTCCTGCTCCCCAGCAAGCAGCTGTCCCGGGTAATCCCGGAGAGACAAAAATCAGAGCGTGAACAGACCCGGCAGAAGGGCTGGAGCCTCGTCAGCCCGCGGCGTTGGGCTGGGCAGAAAGCCCGCTTCTCCCAGGGTGCAGGTGGCGTTAAGCATCCAGGGAGATGGCAAAGCCCAGCCGGGGTCCGCTGGAGCCAGACAGAGGCACCCCATGAAATGGAGATAAACAGGCTGAACAGATTTTTCTCAGCTTGCAAGGAGAAAGCTCAGCCCCAGCATCACGGCGGGACAGGTTTGGGAAGGGAAGGAGATGAAGACCCTAGGCATGGGGTGACAGCTTGGCTTGCCCGAGGGATTTCACGCCTCCCGGGTTGCCCACCCTTAACCCCTCACCCTGGTACCTGCTTGTTTCGGAAATAAAACTCCTTCTGCCCCTGGGGCACCTGCTGGTAGGGGATCCACTCCTCTCTCCCACCCTCTG